AAAAAAAAAAAAAAAAAAAAAAAAATCGATGTGTTTTGAGTCTGGTTAGGTTTTTGATTTTTTAAAAACAATTTAAAGGCTGAAAAAATAAAAATAAAAATATGGGGATGTAGAGTGCAAAAACATTATTATTTTTTGCCTTCGAAAAAAATATTCGCGGGCCGCGTTGTACCACGTTCTAACGCGGTATAGTGCGAAACCCCCGTTGAATCAAATTTCGGACACATAGTCCACCGGACCTTCGCACGGAGCCCCTTACGATGGAAGAGGTCCTCCTTCAACCCCTCTTCGAGAATCCGTCTATCGGAAACGAACAAGGGAAACCGTTCTCTGCTGAGGAGGAAGCAGCGTTTGGGTGGGCTTGGATTCGACGAGGGATCAGCCAGATTCGAGATTTATGGTCTACCATATTGGGCACTTGGCGCCCTTTCGCAGAAGTAAAAACACACCTGCAAAGTCTGCAGAGGGTCGATCAAAATTGGGAAAGGCTGATATCAGCGATTCCGCCGACCTGGAGACAAAGGCTGGGTCCAGAAGGCATCGACCCAGTGGGGACATGGTACCTCCCGCTCACCCAGACGACCACGGAGGCAGTGTGGAAGGTCCAAGGCATCACTCAAAGCGGATTCAGTAAGGTCCAAGTTTGGAAAGTCGAAGACCGGCCCTGATCATTGGTATATTAGACTTCTGCTGCGCTATCTTGTACTATGTGAGAGAGGTCGGTTCTTGTTCTGGTCTGCACCTTTATGGTACGCGACATATGGCAGGATTTAGCAAAAAGCAAGCCGCTCAAGGAAGAAAGCGGCTGTTCTTCAACCCCACGAACAGCAAGGTGATGGCAGTGGCATCAGCACCTGGAAGACCTCCTACAGGTGCTGTGTTATGATTCTGGTTGTTTGTCGTCTGAAGACCAACACTGACTCACATAGACTTCCAGGTATGCCCATACATACACAGAAGGAAGGGGAGAGGATAGGAGTACCGCACAGGGAGAGATAAACACAGCGGAAGACTTGACCATGCGATATGACAGGGTACACTGAAAGTGCAATTCACTCCACTCAATCCTCACAACCAGTCATAAAGAAAAGCCGAGTAGATCACATCCAGGAAACAATGAAACGATGATAGTCCAAACCCAGGTACACACTGTTTATTAAACTCAGAGTCTCGAATTGCCAGGATAACCTCAGTACTACAGTGCGCTGCTCAGAAATGAGCAGCGCTTCACTCCCCAATCCTGATTAGCCACTCGTAACACCCCTGAGCCCCTGAAACATCAAGCGCCACCCAGATACAGCCTCCACAGGGAAGCGCCACCCTGAAACAGGCCTCTGAGGCCAAGCGCCACCCAGAGGATGAAGAAGAAGACCAGCGCCACAGTATCTGATGATGTCGAAGTGTCGGAAGACTTACTGGGTGGAAGTCTGCAGCAGCGCCACCCAAGCCTGACAAGATGACCTCTGAGAAAGAAGCTGCAGCTATGGCTGCAGCATCACCACCCTGGAACTCCATTCCGGAGGAGGGTCTAGCAGGGCACCAACTTCTCTCGCCTCCAGCAGACCTCGATAGCCCAGACCTCTGTCAGCCCCTGCGTGCTGGCAGAGTACAGCGCAGGTCCCAGCTATGGCCGGCGCTCCGAAGGTCTGGCTATGCCTGTCTCCTTCCACGCTGAACCGTCACCACTTCCGGTTCACGCGTAGCGCAGAAGCGATGTACTCGGTACCAACTGCCAAAAGCCCTGAACCGATGTGCCCATTCTATCTATAGACTACACTAGCGTAGACTCGACCTAGACCGGACTGACTGATCGACCGGTACCCTTTCTGTTTCGGCCTCTCGGCCTCTACCGGACCCGGCTATAGGCTATAGGACTGTCTATCAGAATAGGCCTTTAGGGCCTGTCTGTCCTAGGGGTAGCCCGGACCTGCTATTCACTGTTAGGGTAGCTGTAGGGAATTCTGTTAGTACCGGGCCTGCATTTTTCCCGTATTGGCAGATATGTCCCTCACGAATTTCCCTCACAGGTAGGTCTCTCGGTTAGCCCTCAGCCAAACAAAATTACGAATCTATCCTACCTATAGTACAGCCTCGACAGAGAGAGGCTACAGGCGGCCAGAAAAGCCGCAAGTCATTGCAGCTGCCTCGTCAAGCAGCAGGGCGCCCCAGCTATGGCTGCCCAAATTCCCCTTCGAAGAGGAAGAAGACTGACAGCTGGAAATAGTGCCACGTATTCCCGTCACCACTTCCAAAACAAGATAAGAAAAGAACCCGAAACTTGTCGGCCTCTGCCTACTTCTACCCCACTTCCCTAGACCTACGACACACCAGTCACCTACAAACCTATCTGACCGTCCAAACAGCACACATCTACGGTCAAACAGTCAAGACCTGCCTATCTGGATCTAGATGGGAACCTAGACCAAGGGGACCCAAGACTAGGACACACACAAGGGAAACCTACGGGCCTACCAGTTTCCAGAAGACCAGAAAAGGACAAAACAGCAATGATGAAGGGCCTAAGACTGCCAAATAGAGACTACTAGCAACAGGTTCATGGGTCAAGTCCAGTAGGACTGAAAGCTAGTGAATAACACATACAGACTATAGGTCACGGGATCAAGTCCCGCAGGGCTCAGACCAGGGGAACAGCAGACAAACTTAGTGTACAGCCCGTGTAAGCAACTGCAATTCATTGCAACTCTGCGAGGATTATTGTTTATTGCCATGCCCAGCTCAGAAACGAGACGATTCCTCTATTCCATGGTTGTGCATGAGGGTCAGGACAGGGTGTGAAAATGTGTTTGTCCCACTACCGTCTTCACATGAAGAGAACACCCAGTCATTATAGCTGTATTGGGGCAACTTTCAGTCTAGATACGGAGATATATACCGGGCGTTCTATTCGGGTGAAGGCGGAAGTAGTGTGTCTTGTCCCAGTATAGTCCCATATCTGCCGGAATAGCCCCATATCTGCCGGGCAGAGCAGCAGGATAATTCTGGCACATGAATGTAGCCGTCTATACAGTGCAGCGCCAGGATTCTGCATCAGTCGTTCTTACACTAGAGTAATCATGTTTGCGGCACTGCCATGAAACCTAAGGACGCCGCTAGTGCTATGTTGTAGACAAGGCAGCAACAAGCTGGCCGCATGTATGGTCAGGTTCAGCCTCTCTGAAGCACGAGCATAGCAGTAGAGGGGCCTAAGGGTAGTGCTCAGCTGTTGTGACAAGATGATTCTGCCTCATGTCCTGGGCAGAGGCAGAATTCCTGTCTGGTGTACATCTCTCTTACGAGTTGAGTTCATCATGAAGCTTCAGGTTGATTTTGATCATCGACGGTGGACATCTGTGTTTGTGTTCTGTGTGCGATCCTGTGATATGCTGTGGTGACATTCTTGCAGTCGATGGAAATGGCGCAGGAACGAGCAGCCGTTCACTCTCTTCTGAACGGCATCCCGTGGCGGTGATTGGGAATGCAGCTGTATCGCGACTGTCGCTGACCAGGTGCGTTGCTCAGGTTCTCTGAAGAGACCCTTCCTCCCTCTTGTTAAGATTGTCCCTCCCTTTCTCGTGGGGAAGTTGTGGTGCTGGTGTGACATCCACTGGTGCTCGAGATAGCAGCTGCAGTAATGCTCACACATGCTGGACCTCCTGTTCTACATGATTCCTTCACCTCCGCTTCAGTTCATATCTATTTAACAGAGAGGGAGGTAGTAGTGATAGGCTGTGGAAATGTACTGCAACGGGCCCCATACGTTGAGTTTGCTGGAACTTGCAAGTATAATGATCTTACATGTTTTTGAAAGTGTCACATGCCCTTGTTTTGGATCATCCAGCAGTCAGGATGCATGGACATGAACGCAGGTAGTAGCGATAGGCTGTAGGAATCCGCTGCAGTGCACTCTGCAGTTATTGGTCTGATTGGTGAGAGTTCCGAGTCTGAGCCTGTTTTGCGGTTGATTTATGCATGTATGGTGTGTGCATGCCTGCTGACTTCTAGGTGGAAGTCCGACTCCTTGTGCTCAACTCTGTGGCCGTGCTGTCTGTGCCTTGGACAGGGGCAAGGTACAAATGGGGGTGAGAATAGGGACAGGGCAGAAAGTTAGCAGTAGGGACGAACTGAGGGTAGTAGGACAGCCAGGGATATTACTACAATTTGCTAGAGGCCTGGTAGGGGTACTCCAACAACTTGGGTAGGCCGAGAGGGGTCTGATGGATGTCACGGTTGATGGTCCAGGGCCCGAATGAAGACAGGTATGGTCAAGGCTCACGGCCTGCCTGCAGGAACGCCTGGTAAGCTGTTACATGCTGAGCCTGCACACGGGCCCCATTTTGGTCCGACAGTTGCTAGGGGCCCCCAGGCCGCACGCCCTTCGGATGCACCCTGGAGGCCCATGGCCTGCCTTAGGGTCGCAGGATTCAATTTGAGGCAGCATTCATTACTTCTTTATTTATTTGCTGTCCTATTTTTGTCTGTTCAGGCGTCGTTTTGGACTTGCAGTTCGTCCGAACAGACCAAAAGTCTGTTCGGACAAGGCCACGTTTTTGGCCTGGTACGGACGTAGGCAGGCCCTGTTGGGCCAGGTCCACTTTTGTCCGATAGTGGACACTCCAGCAGGGAGGGCCTGTACGTCTGGTAGGGACCCAGGCAGGCCGTTTTAGGCCTAGGACCACAGGCACACGCAGGCACACCCGCAAGGCCCAGCGCTACTTATAGCTGGGCCAGGCGAGGGCAGACACACAGTTCGAGTAGCTCACTTCTTGGGCACGCGAAACAGCACTGCGCTAGGTGTGGAGGCGTAGGTAGGAGGTGAGGCGGAGGCCATGCCTTCTGAGGTGGTACTTACCCGGGCGCCATAGCTGGACTCCATGCCGGCGACCTGCACAGAGAGACACGCTGGCGGCGATAGTACATGGCGGCAGTTACCTGCAGGTGAGACGTGCTGCGCTAGGTGTGGAGGCGTAGGTAGGAGGTGAGGCGGAGGCCATACCTTCTGCGGTGGTACTTACCTGGGCGCCATAGCTGGACTCCATGCCAGCGACCTGCACAGAGAGACGCCGACGGCAGTAGTACATGGCGGCAG